TTTTCTCGATTTTGTTCTGCATGAAGAAGAAAAAGCGAGATTAGCGTTTGTTTGACTTGTAATTTAATTTCTATTGAATTTGAATTTCTTCTGTTTTAAAACTAATTTGAGGATTTGATCTTCCCGGAATTTATATTCAAACGCGGTCTCAGCGAAGTTCTTCATTTTCGTAGATTGATCTCCGTTTGGGATTTTTGGATCTGTTTTCGATAACTCTCACGGGGCTGGTTTATTGGCGATCGCTACTCATTTGTTTATTTTTATACAACTGGATTTCTGTGTTCTATCTAAGGATACGTTTACTCCAAGGAATCTCGCCATTAAATAGAAATGATTTTCGTTGCTCGCTGTATATGCACATACGCAACTTTTAGATGCTCGTATTATAGTTAGCATTGCTTTGGAGTTTCTTTCCAGGAACTTTGTTCATTCCTTTGCATGTCTCAGAAAAAGAAGGCCCTGCTTTTTGAATTTCATTGTCGTGGCAGCATTAGTCCGTCTGCAACTTGCTTTCTTTAGCAATTGTATTCTTTGGTGTTTACTCGTTCTTATATGTACATGCCAGAGTAATCTGTTGAAAACTCTTACTGAATCACTTTTTTTTTTCTTTTAAACTTTTGGATTGGACGACAGTTAGGTGGACCTGGCTTTGATGTTTCTGTTTGTTTGACGACTTCTTAATTGTCATACATGCCTGAGATATGGTGTTCAAGAAGGATGTAGATTATGGATTCAATGTCCCTGTTATACCAAGGGCACCTCGTTCAAGTAGGGTAAGTATTTCACGTGCATTACCATTGTATTCTATTAGTCTCTTTCTTGAATCACGATTTTATTATGATGGGCGATAATCATTTGTTCCAGAGGAGGGCTCCACACAAGACAACTGCTGAGGATACTCAAGTCTGTGCATTTGAATTACTTGCTTCTTTAGCTGGCAAACTACTGGAGGAAAGTGAAAGTTCTTCTGCTTCTAGCAATGCATCTGAAAGAAGTGATTGTCCTAGGATTGCTACAGATATTATTGCGCAAGAGCAAGAAGATGGTGATAAACGATTAGAAACCGAATGTGTTGATCGGGGAAGCTGTGAAGTGAGCATTGCTGCCTCAGAATCAACTGCAGAGAACAGTGATCGGAAGTGTTCACCAAATGAATTTCCACATGTAGAAAATGATGCCATTTTGGAACGCACTTCATTTTCAGGTTGCTTGCATAATATTGATGGTAATTCGAAGTCTGTAGGTTTTGAAAGCAAGAAAGGATACAATAACTTTCCTAGCAAACCAGAGAGAGGCTCTCCTGTTTCTGGGGAATCATGTGGTGTTATTCTGGAGAATGGATATGATCAACAGCAAAAAACCGAGGGATTGGAATATCTAACTGAGGCTAATACGTGCCACGCAAATGATCAAACTGACTTATGTATGGGTTCTCCTGGATTGATTAGTTCTGACAAGGATGTCAATATACCATCACGCAAGAACCTTGTTTCTAATGTTTCTCTTTCAAGGCATAGGACTGATGTTAGTTTAGGTAGAAGAGATGATGATGAAAACTTTTCTAGGTGTTATAATTACAAATTTAGCAACAAAGTTAAGGCTTATAGGCCTCCACCGCGAATTGTACATAGAAGAATAAGGAAATTGTTGACATCAAAATACTGGAAAGTGGCTCCAAAATTGAAGGATTATGAACTTTCTAGAGCTGGTAAGAAGTATGGCTTGACGTAACTTTTGGTTTCTCTCTACTTGAGCACAGACAGACTATTTCTTTGTTTCATTTCTTCCAAATGGAATTTTATTTCAAAAAAAAAAAAAAAATTCTTAATGGAATTCGGGCACCTTCTTTAACGATCATTCTCTTGATTGTTTTGTTTGTAGATGGGGGAATAAAGCCTCTCTATCACAAGAGGAAAACGTGTTACAACCGTGAGTCGTCTCAACATGATGTGTTTTATAAGAAGAGAAAACTTTCTGACAGAAACTCGGTAGTGACTTCTGATGGAGGCTTTAGCAGTGAAAGTGTTACTAATTCCCCCGAGAAAAATGTGGACAAGAGTGGATCAGATGCAATGTTGCATGGAGGTCCTTAGCTTAATGGCTGTGTTATTACCTCTTTCTTTGAACCTTTCCGTTCCATAGTTTTCACTAACTAATCATTTTATTGTCTGCAGTAACTGGGATATCATCGTCAGTCACAGGTCTTCCAGCATTGCCTCGCCCAAAGAGTTCTCATGGTACCTGATCATTTGATCTATTACTATTTATTTGCTCTTCTTATATTGAGGTGCAAATTGACTCTTATTTCTGTTTTCTTTTCCTATAACAGTGAAGTTTAGCATAAAATCCTTTAGGGTTCCAGAGCTCTTTATTGAGGTCCCAGACACTGCAACTGTTGGTTCACTTAAGGTATATATATATGTAGCTCTTTCGATTTTCACAAATATGGTTATTATTCAATGTAGTATTGTCTAGTTTCCTTTTTTGCCTTTCTCACAGGACGATTAGATTTTTGTGTGTTTCTTTAATTTGACAAACCGTCCCATGCTTTTGACATATAGAAACCATAAACAGTTTTGTGTACGTTTATCCATCACTGTCTTTGTTTGCACCATAAACCATTTTCTCGGACAATGAGAAAGCAGTTTCTTATCGAATTTGGTTATGTAGGTACTGATTGGATAAGGTGAGAGCAATAGGCTACTTTCTGTAAGTTGCTTTCATATGTTTGTAATTATTGGTTTTATGTTGTACAGAGGACAGTGATGGAAGCAGTGACTGCTTTAGTTGGAGGTGGAATACGCGTTGGGGTACTTGTTAAAGGGAAGAAAATCAGAGATGACGACAGAACTTTATCACAAACTGGTATTTCTTGTAAGGACAACCTGGATGCTTTGGGCTTCACTTTAGAGCCTACGCATGCACAAGCTCCACCACCCATCTGCCCTGAAGATCATCCTCCTTTGTTACCAAATGATCCAACCCTACTTTTATCAAGGTAATTCTAATATGTTCTTAAGGCCATTCCTGAACTGATCTTTTTAAGTCCTCTGCCAATTTTTGTTGTTGGGTAATTTTGGAATGTTCTTAAGATCGTCTCTAATAACTAGTGTAGAAAATCTTTGCCTATTTGTTTTCTTTGCAAGGACCAATAGTAGTTATTCCATTGTTTTCTCATGAAGATTGAAGTCCTTTTCATTATGTCATCAATTTGGAGCACACAGAGAGGGTCAACATCATTTACTGGATGTCTTATGTAAGCTTTAGGCAGTACCTACCAGTAGCGGTATATATTTAGGTTATATTGGCAAAGAATTATTGATGGACCTATCCTTAGGAAGTGCAATTTGCTGGTCTTTCCTTTTGTGCATTAAAAGGCCGAGGAATTTTGCAAAATTTCTTTAACGAGGATACAACTGGTAGACTTGTTTCTCATTGTAAACCTTTTTTCGGTGAATATTTGAAGTAAAAGCTAATTTTTCTCTGATAGGAATTTTTTTTTTTTTTTACATACTTTTAGTTGCCTGTATATTAATTAATAAGTGCTGCTTTTATTTCCAGGTTGTCAGCAGCTCCTGCTTTAGAACTGGGGATCCCCAATGCAATACCTGACCCTACTTCCCTAAATGATTCAGGCAATCATGTTGACAGTAATCATGAAATAGTTTCCTCATATGTTGATTCATTAACTGACAAACCCCCGTCAGATTCTAGAGCTCTGGTTCCAGTTCCAGCTATGAGTGTTGAGGCATTGGCTGTTGTTCCTGTGAACCAGAAAATCAGGAAATCTGAGCTTGCACAGCGTCGAACCCGGAGACCATTCTCTGTGTCAGAGGTCGAAGCCCTTGTTCAGGCAGTTGAGGAACTTGGGACTGGAAGGTATGATGGTCCTTACTGATGATCCAATCAGTTCGGTTATCATGCTAATACTTATCCTGAATTGTTTTCACTAGTGGCCATTGTAAGGGCTAAAAGTGATTACTATTCTGCAGGTGGCGTGATGTTAAATTGCGTGCTTTTGAGGATGCAGACCATCGTACTTATGTTGACTTGAAGGTAAAATCTTGATCTTAAGTGTTGTACCTGATTGTATGGTTAGTGGATACATGCATGCTTATTGTCAGTTATGCTTTTGTGTTATAAATAGGTGAGAAAAGAACAGTAAAAGCCCTAGAAGCTTTCAACTTCTTAAGTTCGCATTCAAAAAGAATTGGTCTATAGGGCACTATGCCCTTGTATAGGGATGAGATGAATGATCGGAATTGAACCGCAAAATTATAAGAACATAGTTAGTGCTTGCAAGAGTCGTTAAATAAGACAAACTATTAGCCTCGTTTCATTTTGCACTGTGTGTGTGCGTGCAGGACAAATGGAAGACACTAGTTCACACAGCAACAATCTCCCCTCAGCAAAGGAGGGGGGAACCTGTGCCCCAGGAACTTCTGGACAGAGTCTTGGCTGCCCATTCTTATTGGAGCCAGAACCAAGCTAAACAAGGAAAACGTCAAGCTGGAACCTTAAAGATCACAGACGTCCAACCCGGAGCCATTGTTATGGTGTAAAAAGTAAGGAAGGTAAACAAAACGTTGACATGAAGAGAACAAGAAAACTGTACAAAGAAATTAAGATGATTCAAAATTAATTTCTGTATTATTCCTCACATGCAAGCACTCACTTGATTCATCGCTGGATTTTTCCCTAATGCGGGAAGAACAGCACCTGTAAATGATTTAATGAAATAAAGGTCATTCTAACCAGACATATTATTTTAGAAAAGGAAAAATTCATTGTATTCTATTTATGTAATTCATATTTTTTGCTGAAACTTGAAAAGGAAACACTCTTTGGTTTCCTTTTTTTTTATTAAAAAAAAAAAAATTCTTTTAATAACATATAATCTTGTCATCTTATCCATCCTTTTCTGTCTTCAATTATTTGTGTTAGAATTACGTGGAGTATAGTTTAATTAGCATATAATAAGGGTGTGAGTTGTTGACTTGTAGTTGTCTAATTCTAGATGACTGCTGCTACTATAAGGAACTTTGAGAGGTAGTTTAGTTTAATTAGTAGATCATGATGTGGACTCTAATGCTACCAACTACTACTGTTTAGAAATTAGTTGATTTAAAATTATTAGAATTTGATAAATTTTTATTAAATTACACATAAATACTAATTGGGTATTATGATTTGACAATTTGTATTTAGTTGAAATTGCTAAAATGTTTTATTATTGTTCGGAGTTTCATTTAATTGCAATTTAAATTCCGGGAGCACATTGTAGAAATTCAAGTTTTAAATAAATTAGAATTGAAGAATATTTTATGATTTACGAAAATCCAAATTGGAATTTGCTCTTATTTTATTGAACCAACGAAGAAGTCAATTGGGTTGATTATTTAAATTTTTCCATGGGTAGCTGGTTGGTTGTTTATTAAAGTTGTGGATAAGGCGTGAAGAAAATGGTTAGTGGGTAGTTCACGCAAAGCTTTTAAGGGGCACATGCACGTCTCCGTGAGGTGCCAAGTTAAATTATATGTTATGTATTTAATTCACTTGGATTTTTAATATAATTTTTTTTATTATATAATGTTCAGTTACAGTTTAATTTTTATTTATAAATAAATTAATTTATAACCTAAATAAAGAGCAATTTTTTTTTCTAAATAAACAATTACTAAAACTATTTAATTTTACCTCATCTATTATCTATTATATATATATATATATATTGATAATCTTATTAGAGTAGAAATTGTATTTTAAATATTGTTTAAGACACTTGTTATAATTTAACAGCACAAATTTAATAAAATTATGAAACAAATTACCTCTTAAATATGAAAAATTGTTGTTTTAAATATACATAAATATCCCCTCTCAGAAAGAATATATATATATGTATGTACACATGTAAAAATAGATGGCCCTCCCGATAATGACAAATTTGGGTCGGGCCTTTCGGGTCGGTTGAGATCCACAATTGCCCGATTTGGCCCGATAATGACAAATCGTTGGACCTTTCCTAATGAAATATCAATTTATTGGGCCCATTACTTTTATTGGTCTAATTTTTTCTTTTGGGGTGGGTGAACTGGTCTATTATTATTATTATTATTATTTTACAATGATAAGGTTCCTACAATATGGTAGTTCACTGTTTGCTTCGTTATCTTTCAATTTATTTATTTATTAATAATTTATCAATTCTCCTCATCTAACAATTTTGAAGCTATTTCATTTTGTGTTTTTTTAATATAATAAAAAAATAATAAAATTGCTGTATTAAAAAATTAAAAAATTATTCATTAAGTATAAACGTTACATTAGTATGATTTATCTCAAATTAATTATTAATATTTTTATAATTTTATTTTTTTTAAGAAAAAAAAAACTTAGGAGGCACATACGAGTTCCCTGAGAAGTCTAAGATTCTCTTTTTTAAGTAGTTGTTGAAAGATTATTAATATTTTTATGATGGAGTTTGAATTGAGATATATGTACATGTATACATATTTGTTTTTTAATATATAAAATTTATTGATTTTTGGGCTTTACAATAAAATTTTATTTTTCAGTATTTTCATAATATTTCTAATTTAGATATGAAATTTTTACTAAACTTTACATCAAATAAGTAATAACATTCTCTTAAGTCATATATTACAATTAGGTAATCTTATATTTTGTTTTGAAAAAAAACATATATTTGTTTATTACATTTAGAAATGCTTACTTAATATTTTTATTTGTTTTGAAAAAAAAAACATATATTTGTTTATTACATTTAGAAATGCTTACTTAATATTTTTATTTGTTTTGAATGAATTTCAACCCACATTTGCATATGTGATACAGTTTTATAAGTCATTTTTTTTTATCAAAAATTTAAAAAAATAAATCTTTTAAATCAATCACTAATCCCCAAAATATGGGGAACATCAACTCATTGAATGAAAAACTTTAACCTTCCAAAAATTTTCCAATATTGTAACATTCTATATGATGTAAACTCACTCTTTAAATTGAGATATTCATGTCTAAAGTCATCTATATTTATTTTTTGTCACAATTTCTTTTGTAACGATCTGGAATTAAAAGAAAAATAAATTCATAAATTTAATGCGGAAGCGCATAATAACGTTAGAGTTTATATTCTTTACACATAAATTTAAATATCCAATAAGGATACAGAAATGTTCCTTTCATAATAGTTCATAAAAAAAGAAATAAATATATAAAAACAGTAAATAAATATTGTAGGGAGGTTAACATCCACTAACTCTTGATAGGATTCGGGGGACACCTACTCACAGCTCTCCTGCTGATTAGGATATGAATCTTGATTTTCTTGATCTAAAATGGTTAATAGGAGTGAACTACACTAGTGCAATAAGAATATCACATTATTCACCGATACGGAACTCAATGTTGGTAAAAAAATATAAAACGACTAATAAAGTTTTTAATTTAAGTAAGTTCATTTATCACAAGAAGAATCATTTATTGCATACTTATCGTTATGATATGTCCAAAATTAACCTATAAAGACAATAACTCAAATAACATTATGATTTTTTATACAAGTGAACAAGAACAATAATTTTCCTTTTTATCTACTTACTGGTACCTTTGGGGATCCATAGGGATGTTCTCCTATACGTGAATTCAATATTTAAACTTGTCAATTAATCGGCCATTCTCATATCCCGTCCGGTATGAGCACAAAAAATTTCACTCATCGGTATCCCGTCCAGTATAAGGGTAAATCGGACCGTCCTCATACCCTATCTGGTATGAGCGCTAAAAATATCATCCCTGGATACCCCATCCAGTATGAGATAATATTCACGGTAGGGTTCCCTTTGTACCCGGTCTGTCCACCATCTATCAGAATATCCAGTAAGACAACCATTTATTAATTCACATCATCAAATAATTTTTTATTTGTATATTAATTTTACATTTCACAATCAACCGTAAATCACATAAAACAAACGATATATATATCAAGGAAGCACAACTGAATCATTTAACTATTTTAATATATTATCATGTATTTAAAGCTGTACATTCAAATAATCAGTTAAACAAGACAAATAAATAACTGATTAGTTTTGCCTCCATTAGTGACATGTAATTATTCTCAAAGTTTTCTAAATTTTACAAAATACTATATTATAGATTATTACGTTCAATTCCATAACAGGGAATAGGGTGAAAGATTCTTACACAAATCAGTGTTTAAAATACTGAACTTTTTACTGCGCCTCCTAGTCTCCAAATTTTTTGAATTTTTCTGTGGAGATTAAATATGCTTTACATACCTAAAAAATATCCTAAAAACTTAAAATCAGTATTAAAAACACATTCTGGCCAATTTTGGGATTCTAACACGGCAGCGGCGCCGTGCTCCAGCAACGGCATCACCGCCCGCGGTGATGGTTTGCCTCGGTCTGGCCCTTTTTGGTTGGTTTAGGTCAATTTCGGCTGACTTTACACATATTCCTGCAAAAAAATATGTCAGGGAGCCTTAGTTGGTCGAAAAAATTAAGAAACTAAAACCTACCAGTGGTAGAGTTTTCAAGTGCGGTGGCTCTGCCGGCTCTCATTCACAGCTGGGATTCCTCCTTCAGTCAACCTACAAAAAACAGAACGATGAACACAACGGTAGAAAAATCACACGAAACGAGAACCAGAAAGGGGTTCATCGAATGAGGTTGCGTGATTTGGGCCATAGTGGCTCCGCTTGGCTCTGCCCGCGATTTTCAGCTCATCTGCCATTTATTTTGCTCTGATATAGTTATAGGGGTGCTCGAAATTGAATTTTAAGTGAGTAGGAGAATTTTTACCTTTTTTAGCAGTCAGAGGTGGCTCTGGTGCGGCGGTAGTCGGCGATCGGCTTTCTTCTCTAGCGTCTGGTTCTCCGATGGGGGAGAGGGAGGGGGCTGGTGGCTAGGGTTCAGGTTATGTGTGATGCGAAATATTTATATCCATTCCACATTAATCTAGGCTGTCTATCATGATCGATCTCGTCCGTTCGATCATGCCCAAAGAAGGAACGAATATGCACCGTTCATTGGGTCTGATATCGATCGTTCGATAACTCCTAAAGAGAAAATGGATATGGACCGTCCATGCGTGCGGGATCGATCTTGGGTCGTCTGATCGTGGGGCACGCGGATTGCCAGCGTGGCCTCCTGCGTGGCGTCGACATCAGCGCGCCTGGACACACGGCTCGTTCTGATTTGTCGAGGCTGTTGATTAAGCAGTCCTACGTGGCCAAACTTTCTCTATTGTACTTTGACCATCTATTTCAATTTTCTTTCAAAATATCCACTGAACTTAATTTTACCAATTCTTTCCAAAAGTATTTTAATTTCATCCCTAATTCTTTTTTTTAAAAAAATTCAATCAAATTAAAATAAAATAATTTTTTTTTAATTATTATATATATTTCATAATCTATAAAAATTATCTCGAGGCCAATTTTCGAGCCCGAGTGTTACAACTCTCTCCCCTTAAAAGAAATTTGGTCCCTCAAATTTGTTGCCTTTTTGCTAGTCAAACAGATGGGGATATTGAGTCCTGAACATTGATTCCAGTTCCCAAGTGGTCCCTTTCTGCATATGGTTCTACTATAAGACCTTGATGAATAGAATTTCTCGGTTGCAGAGTACTCTACTCTTTCAGTCTACAATGCCTACCGGTACCTCCTCACAGGATAGATCCTCTTGGAGTAAAAAGAGCTCATGAGACAG